AAGGTGTCAATTTTGTTGCCAGATAAAAGGGTAAAAACATAATTATCATATTTTGCTACTGGCAAAGGAGGTTCCAATGGTGGATTGTTACATCCCAGGATCGTCTGAGATGGCGACTGGCAGTGGTTTGATCGTGGCTGATGGTGGTGCTAATCACGTTTTCTACGCGCGTGTGGCTTCAGACTGAGACGGTTCTGCACAGACCTCTGTCCGTCGGCTACAGCAGGCAGTGTCGGCAATTTAAACAGGACTTAATACATCTCTGCTTAATTGACCTGGTCAAGGTCTACGATACTATCAAGGGATGGGGTCTTTGTATGGGTCATTGTTGAAGGACCTTCATGATGGTGGGCAGGCCTGGGTACAGCCGCATGGCCGGGAGTCAGAGCCATCCCATGTTCACCTTGGGGTTCGACAGGGATGTCCTTACAAAGACAAAGATCCCCCCCCGCTATAGCCTTAACAGACTGTTGGGGCAAGTGTTGTTAGCGAGCACCTATGAAGGCGGGAATGGCACACGAGGGGGTGGGTGGCGAGCACGCAGACACAAGCACGCGTGGTCCCAGCGTCTCCTTGTCAGCATGGCCCACGGTCACGTGGTCTCGCCCTCACAAGTGGCTGGGACGCGGGGGGGGGTAAATTAAAGAGTGGGGAGGGGGGTGAGGGGGGTGAGGGGGGGATCAAGATAGGGGGATAAAGAGCAACCCCCTTCAACCCCTCTCACCCCCCCACCCCCCGGGCAGGAAGTCTGTACCCTGCTCCCGGAGCTCCACACTCTCCACGTCCCGGCACCCCGTTTCCTCCTCAAGCCCCCCCCCACCACCCTTCTCAAGCCCCCCCACCCCTCAAGCCCCCCCCCCACCACCCCCCTCAAGCCCCCCCGCCACCACCCCCCTCAAGCCCACCCCCTCAAGCTCCCCCCACTACCCCCCTCAAGCCCCCCCACCCCCACCACCCCTCAAGCCCCCCCACCACCCCCCTCAAGCTCCCCCCACTACCCCCCTCAAGCCCCCCCACCACCCCCTCAAGCTCCCCCCCCCACCACCCCCTCAAGCTCCCCCCACCACCCCCTCAAGCCCCCCACCACCCCTCTCGAAGCCCCCCCCCCCACCACCCCACTCAAGCCCCCCCTCACCACCCCCCTCAAGGCCCCCCACAACCCCACTCAAGCCCCCCCCCCGACCACGCAGCAAGCAGCAGATTATTGCAAACGCCGCGTTAAAAAATAATGAAGGTAAAGTGGGAGGGGATGGGGAAGTCGAAAACAAATACAGAGCTCAAAACAACGTACTAATCGAGCGCGTGGAACACTGCCAGGATTGGCCGGGTTACGTTGGGGGGCAGGGGGGGCAGGGAGGGGTGAGTCAATCTACTGCCCCCCCCCCAACCACCACCACCATCACCACCGACCCCGCCTGACCGGCGCTCTCTTTCTTAACGCCATCACGACTAAGTAAACACGGCACAATCACATCAAGAAAACACAACACAATCAAATTAAGAAAACACGCGCTCGGCACGTCGCGCCCTTCCCAGAAGCGAGCGAGAGACTTTGCCGCAGCCAGCAGCAGTAGCGGCAGCGAGTGAGCGACCATTGGTGACTCTATTGCACCGTACTGATGAGACATTTTAATCAAAGAAGGAAAAGCGTCGAGCACGACTGTGCAGTTCTGCTCGTAACTGTTGATGGATTTTTTTGGCATCATGCGCATAGGCTGAAGTGCTTTGTCACGCGCGTGCGTGCGTGCGTTGTTGTTGTTGTGGTGTTGTTGTTAGAAACGTGCGGCACGCTCTGGGTTCAGGGGGACGATGTCGTCCTCCCCCCGCACCTCCGATTCGCACGGTGGGCTACGTACGGTGCGAAAGAAGTTCAACATCCATGCGTAAACATACGACGGAGTCTATGCGCGCGACTTAAAAGTGCACGTAGCCCACAATAGCTGAGCATAAAGCCCCCCCCCCCTCCCCCCCCCCAAATAGGTCCAACAGTCCCACATGCCGAACGGTCAGCAACAAACAGCACGACCAAAGTGAACACGCTATTTCACATTGAGAGGGGTTTCTCAGAGGGTCCTTGCAAATGACGTGACGGCCTTCATAGGCGCTGCTCGGCGTCAGAACTAAGCTCCAACAGCCTGCTAAGGCTACACGGGGGGGGGGGGGGTCTTTGTCTTTTGTCTCGTTGTACAGGCGTCTATGGCGAGGAGGATGCATACGGTGTAAAGACGCGTCCGGGGGTACGGGGGGTCATCACCCCCTGGTTACAACTGCCCGCGTGTGACTTGGAGCAAAACAAAACGTGTTTGCCCGCACCAGAAACCACCGCACGCGGCCCGCGAACCTCACGCGGCCCGCTTCTGCGCCCTTCCTTTCCCATGATAGGAAGCCAGTGGAGGAGCTACGGCACTTTTAAAGCATCGAGATTGACTCACTCAGTTCTTTGAGGCCGCTTTTTGTGTTTCGGTTTGTTGTCCTTCACCCCGCACCTCCGTTGAGCACGGCTGGCCACGTGCAGTGCGACAAAAGGTCAACATGCGGTACGTGCACTGCGGTGAGCGCGGAGTGTTAGGTCATGCCCCCCTCTCGATAAAGGGCTCCTCTTAATCTTTGGGTGAACGCATCCTCGTGGGGCTGCCAGATGCCCTTTCTGGGGGTAGCGAGACACGGGTAGATTTTTTTCGAAGGTAAATCATCGAAACGTAAATTAAGCACGGGCATGGAAGTACAACTACTTTATATTCTTGGTTCTTTCGGTAAAGTCACGTGGAAGGGAAATAATAAAATAATAAAAATAAAACCATTAAATTATCACGACGTTTCGATTGCAACACGAGCAACCATCATCAGGTGTGAAAACCACAGCAAGACCGAAAGAACCAAGAATATGAATCCCGAGCAGTCACGAAAACTATAAATCTAAAATACAAATACTTTGTTTCATCGAACCTATATATTTATAAAGTTATCATGTTTTTAACAATTGAGAACCAAAGGGGCGCAAGGCTGCAGCAAAGGTGAAGAACCACTGGTCTCGATCCTCCCGGCTCCTCCCACACGCACTCATTCATGGAATCTGCCCAACGTCCCTCCTGTAGCAAGGAGCCTTCTGACAAAACAAGTCTCTTTGAGACTCGGCGAGGCTCTCCTGGTGTAAATAAATAACATTCGTCGTCGACAGCCATGACCAATCCACTGCTGGAAGATGACCTTCCTCAGCCATCGCCATCTCTCAGTCAACAGTGCCAGAGCTATGGACAGACTCGTGCCCGCCATAGGAATGTAGAATTTACACCACTCACTCAGGGCTGTAAACAGGAGCTGTACAACGCCTTCGTGCTCGTTTAAGCAGATACTCACATTGATGAATTGTTCTATACACGATAGGCAATTCCTACATCTCACCTTGGACCATGTAACTTCGCACTGCCCAAAATATACAATTTTAAGGTGGTGGGTGTCTGAGCGTGTGAGTGGATGGGCGGGTGCGTGAATGGGTGATTGAGTGGGTGGGTGGGTGAGTGAATGGGCGAGTGGGTGGGTGGATGGATGAGTGCGTGGGTGGGTGAGTGGCTGGGTGAGTAGGTGAGCGAGTGGTCGGGTGCGTGCATCTGCAATTCACCAACGCTCAAAGCAACTGAACGGCAAAATCACTTGGAACGACTTCTCTCTCCAACAGTTTTCCTTCATTGGCCTCACGAAATGTCGCATCTCTCTCTGGCGTTCCCTCGTTGGCCCTGCTGTGGGACATTTCTCTCCGCACGTGCCGCCCAAGCAAACTCGTGACTTGAATTAAGTGCTTACGTATGGAATTTGATAACCCCATGAAAAAAAAGCAACGCCATTAAGACGCCTTATATTGTTTACTAACATCTATTTACGCTGTCGTCATTTCCTTCACGCGGCTACAATAGCCGCAGTGAGCTAATGGGCGGGTGGGTGAGTGATGTTGGCGGTAGAGGCTGAAATTTAAACAGCCGATATTTGAAATGATGGAGAAGTTTGAGCGAGAGGGGGGGGGTGATGTGGTGAGTGTGTGTGTGTTGGTGCTACTGGGCGCGGTGATGTAGCGGTCAGCTGCGCTCCGAACCCGGCGACCCGAGTTCGATTCACACTCAAGGTTAACATCAGTGACGATTATTGAAACCGGTCCTCGGCCTCCCCTAAGTCGACTCAGCCTCAAATTAGTACCTGATGCTGTGTAAATATCTCAACTAGGGAGACAAAGGCGGCTGGGCGTGGTGCTGGCCACCAGCACCACGCCGTTCCGACCATCAGAGGCGCTCGCTAACAGCACTTGCCCCGACAGTCTGTTAAGGCTACACGGGGGATCTTTGTCAGTGCTGGTTCTGAGATGACCGTGGACTCCCGTGATCATGTGGCCCCACACGGTGTACATCTATACTGAACAAGTGAAAGAGCTTTATCGCTCATCAGATTCCTCCAGTATAAATATCCTGATTCTGAGCGGCGTCGTGCGGTGCATTGTGGGGTTGGGTGACTGCGCTCAATGCTACGCGGATTCGCTTTTTGGAACGCTTCTCCTACCGCTTAGAGCGAAGGAAACCTGCACTCGACCAGGCTCAAAGCCACCGGGCTTCAGACACCCGACGGAATCTGCCACAATTACCGTGATGTGGTCGCAGGCAATTACTTTACAGGATATCGCGCAAACTCCGGTCATCCTCGCCGCAAAAGCTTTTGGCTGGCCATCGAACAAACACGGTGGTCACCGCATCGCGCAGTTTCAGACGCGCTTCTGCGGCCATCTGGAACACTCTTCCTTCCGTTATTAGGAAGCCACTGGGCGCTCTGCTTTTTTAAAACATCAAGATTGAAAACTAATTTTATTATAACTACTTTTAGTTTAGTTTGCCATCCTTCCCCCGCACCTCCGATTAGCACGGTTGGCTAGGTACGGTGCGAAAGTAGTTCAACATACATATCTAAACCCATGAGTAATCCGACTACTTTTCCATTCACCATCCAAAAAACAGCCACCGTCATCGTCGGAGTCTTTTTATTGGTGTAATATTGTTTCACAGGCTGCACTACATCAAGGAACAATGCAACTCGAGCATAACACCCCACTGAATTGTGGGTACTGGGCCACACCGAATGTTTTTGTCACGCAAAGTAACCCTATTTTAGAAGGATGTGAACTCATCATTACTTGGGCGTGCACTCTTTGCACACACGAACACGCGTCGCTCGCACATCACGGAAACTCGGCGACACAGAGCTCACCAAATGCACCCAAGCCCGAGACACACTCGCGCAATTTTTTTTTTTCCATTAAAAAAAGAAACGTTTTACAACTCTTGCCTGTAGAACTTCTTTCACACCGCACGTAGCCAACCGTGCCAATCGGAGGTGGCGCGGAGGGAAGGATAACAAACTAAAACACAAACTCTTGAGGTTTCATTAACCAGAGCCAACACAATGGGGGCCAGCAAAAGTAAATAAACGATGGTCTCTCAACTACATTCAGGAGCTCCAAGCCACTCTCACACTCGAGTCCAAGCAAGCAGAGCTTTTTGGGGTCTTGGGTAGTTGCAGTTTCAGGAGAGTTTAGGAATATCATAAAACACACAATAACTGTCCACTCCTTGCATGAAAGTCCATGTTGCAAGGTACCACATATCTTCCAGGGATTTGTTGTTCCAGATTTACTTACCGGTTCATTTGAAGCCACGTAAATCAATCGTGTTAAAGCTGGCGACGTTCCACAACTCCTCAAACGTATGTACGTTCAACTCCTCTCTCGCCGTACTTGCCAACCGTACTATCGTTATCGGCAAACACGAGACTCGGGGGTGAAACCGGGATGGCATATTCTCGTCGTACCTTGTACCACATTGAGATCGGGTCAAACTCGAGGGTGGATTTCTACCGGCTATTCCCCATCACTTCGGAGCCCTAAAGTGTGACCAGGCCTTGGCGGCCACGAGCTCCCCAGGAGGCACCGAGGTCTCGAGTGTTTGCGGACAGAAGTGAGTTTCTTAGCTGCGCAGCAGGTAGAGCAGCAAGCAGCCCCAATGACAAAACCCCGAATCCTTTAAACTCGCAGACGATCTCAAGTGGCCTGCAACGGATATATTTTCCAAATTATGAGACCCACTTTTTACCCCCTATAATTGAAAACAAATTTTTGGGGTGCATCTTATAATCCGATAGGTGTGTCCCCGTCCATATTTCTCTAACTTGTGCCAAGACACCGGACACAAGGTTTTTGGTGCGTCTTACTTTCCCAAGCGAGTCTTATCGGCCAGAGAACGCAGCGTATATCGTTTGCAACTCATTATGAACGGTACAGTTACAATGACAATTGACCCCAGTTCTGATGCACGCTCATCTCTTGCGTGTGCACACGCTCCGTTGCCTACACGTGCACGCACGTTGCAGCCACCTGCCTGCACACGAAGCCTGGGTTTAAAAACAGCTTGCAGGACGTCACAAAAAACAAAGTCTCTCTCGCATATCAGAAGAGCGGCAGAACGCGGTAGGCAAAACACCCCCCTTGGGACGCAAACGCAAAGGAGGACGGCGACACGCGGCGCTTCGAATTAAGCCCGGGTGAAGGATTCGGAGCAGTGGGCAGCACGCGCGGACCAGCAACTTGTTTTTCTGGGTGGGAGCTAAATGCTGAGCATGCCGGCTCTGTGGGCAGGTGACCAATGTTCAAAACACATTCATGACAAAAACGCGAAAATCATACGAACGATATAAAAATCACAACGAAGGGAATTTCGGAGAAAATAAATCTTCGAAACTTTGTAAAAAGTTGGAGAGAACACATTTGCCGTTTGCAAGTCAACACGACAAGCTGGCGACATGCGGCGCACGCGTGCACACTCCTCCGCTTCACATCCCCCGACAAATCCCATCTGCGCCCCCCCACCACCGCCGCCCACTCGAGTCCGCTACCAGCACGCAGCAAATTCCTGCTTCCAGGATGCACTTCCCGCCCTCTGGCCAGACCGCGGCGCGCTTCCGTACACTCCGACAACCGCGGGTATCGACCGTGGTGGCAGCGATGGGGGCGGCTGGGCCGGCACCGGCGCGCGCTGGGGGTGGGAGAGGGAGCCGGACGCCCGACGGCGATCACGCGAAGATGGTCTCCTCGCGGCGCTTCTTGGTGAGGATGGTGCCGGGCTTGTGCTGGGCGTCGGGGTGGTTGGCGAGCTCGGGGGGGCACTGCGACACAGGGCTGCCGAGCATGGCCTGCTTGAGGTCGTAGAAGACGGCCGCGTCCTCCTTGGTCAGGAAGGTGACGGACACGCCGCTCTTGCCCGCGCGACCCGTGCGGCCGATGCGGTGAGTGTAGTCTGCGCGAGGGCACCGGGGGGGGGGGGGGGGGAGGGGGGGCGAACCAAGACGGAAGGTTACGGAGGAGGTGCGGGGGCAGAAACATCAGGACACGGCGTGAAATAAGGGGCGCAGATATACGCAAGGACAAAGGGCAAGGGGATATGGTGGCACACGGACACAGAGGTAGAGAGAGATACGTGGACAGTGGGAAATGGCAACACGGGGACACAGGAATGCGGAGATCTGGAGATATGATGACACGCGGCCACAGGGACGGAAAAACACCAGGACACGAAAACGTGAGGGACATGTGGATGGTGAGGCAAGAGAACGCAAGGCACTCACCCTCGATGTTCTTGGCCATGTCGTAGTTGAGAACCATGGAGACGTCGTGGATGTCGATACCTCTGCCGGCCACGTCGGTGGCCACCAGGATGTCCTTGGCGCCGGCCTTCAGGTTTGAGAGCGCAAACTCTCTCTGCTCCTGGCCCTTGCCTCCGTGCAGCGTGCACGCGTTGAACTGAGGGGCGCACGCGACAAGAGCGTAGGCGGAGCGTCGTCAGGGTGAGTGTGTGCGACGCGAAGCCAATGACGGTCGTGCGGTGCGGTTAGTCTTCTTCGACTACAATTTCACATTCAGGTGGCTCAAGGCCAGATGGCCGCGTCAGGAGCAGCCGAGTGCATCGCCGCGATGTCTCCTTCGTGTTTGTCGATAGGGGCCATTGCGTCGTAATACGTCGCGGTGCAGTTGCCGTTCATCACTTTAAAATCGACGCTGCGATTGTACCCCACATGCGTACGACAACCATTAACGCTGCGGTGTGGCACCGACCGTGACGATACCACGCGCAGTCTGTTTCACGGCGGACGTTAAACAATGCGCGACGTCATTCTCAAAAAGTAGGCCGCTGAGTGCTGGCGTCATTGTCCAAATTTGTCAAGAATTAAAATTGGCCACAAATTTCTCGAGAGGAATATACATAGCAAATATCGCCCCGCTCCTGAGAAAACTTGATAGGAGCATCCCGCAAGAGACATGAGACTTGTTGATTAATATATGAGGAATAAATTGTTTCTGCCTCCTGTCACAACTTGAGCCAGATTGTTTTGCAGCAACGTTGTTTAATCAGTCAAATGTGTACCCCACTTGATCAACCTGCAGGCTGATCAGGGAACCATTCACACCACAGGCACACACACCGCGCACACCACCCATACCACACACACACACCGCGCACACCACCCATACCACGCACACACAGTCGACCCCGCCGCCCACTCACCCCCATCTTCTCGAGGGACTTGGCGAGCACGTCGCAGCCCTTCTTCTGGTTCACGAAGATGATGATGGGCGGCTCGAATCCTCGCGACAGCAGCTCCAGCAGCTTCTTGCTGCACAGCGCAGACACGGGCGGTGGCGGCAGCAAGGGCGCCCGTGGCGTGTTAGTGACGCGCGCAAAATTCGACGCGCGACCCGACTGGAACTTCACCAACTGCCGTGGTTGGCGAGTCCAGCCGCATTTTGGGCCATTTGCGCGGTGATCAAATTGGCGTCGTTTTCCCCGAGGGTTGGGATAGTACAGGGTGATCCATTCATAGATATCCCACTGATTTATGATCTCCCCCCCCCCCCGCAACCTCATTCTCAACCACCGCCGATTGAATAAGGTGAAAGTGATGGCTCCGTTATCTTACAGGTTTAACAAGCGTATATCCCTGTCGTGAGTGGAATGAGATGAGAGAGGGAGAGATCTGTGGAGGCTTTGAAATAAAATATGATTTTCCATATATCGTCTACATATTGTTTCAGTGGGGTATCTTCAAATGGATCACCATTTTATTTAGGTCATGTTGGCTCAAATATTAGCCTATTACGTTTACCAGGAGCCTGTTGCATAACACAACCCCGAGTTGAACTGTACACGTGGTTTGTAAATCAATGCAAAATTAAAGGGGCTAACACGACAAAAACCTATCAGCAACACACAACGGTAACCAACGATTGACACAATGTGGGCAGCAGAGGGCAGCACAAACATTTTTTTTTTAACCGCGCTACGCTCCCACGTCTATGCGGGGCTGGTGAAGGCCCGGGTCAAATAAACCCAATGACGCCCAACGACCCCCGCACGTTGTGGGGGAGGGCCCTCAACCAGCAGTGGATTCACAGAGATGGACGTATTATTGATTAAATGCACCAGAGCACAAAGGGGATGCAACTGCTGAGGAAAATACGGAACGGTATTGTTTAAGGAATCTCGGTGATTTGGCCAATTTTTGTGAAAATCCCAGTGGCTACCGGGTTGCCATGAACCTCCACAACACAACGCCCCTCCATCGCCGCCTCCCACAGCACCGTGCCGAGGACCCCTCAACCCCCACGGAGGAAGGCACGCGAGCCGGGGGCGGGCACGTGCGTACGTGCGTACGTACCGCTTCTCGGACTCGCCCATGATGAAGACGCGCTGCTCCACGCGCTCGATGGGCTTGCCCACGGAGCCGATGTAGACGACGGCCGGGCGGCGCAGGTAGCTCCGCGCCAGCCGCTCCACGGCGGCCGGCATTGTGGCCGTGAACATGACCGTCTGCGGAGAGACGCCGCACGGAGGAGGGGAGGAGAGAGACGCACGCGCACGCAGGCGTCACGTACAGAATGGGGCGCACACCCCGAGGAGAGATGCGTCAACAGTCGCCCACAATCAGAATATTCAGACTGGAGGAATCCGATGAGCTATAAAGCTCTTTTCACATGGACACCAACAAGCAAGAGAGATGCGCAGATAGCAACGCGCAGATACGCGCACAGACACGAACGGAGACACGACAGGAGTCACGCAGAGAGAGGGCACCCGAGGAGAGACGCACACAGTCGCCCACAAAGAGACCTTCACGTGGACACGAGGAGAGATGCGCGCAGATCGTCACGAGCAGATACGCGCACAGACAACGAACGGAGGAGACACGACGGGCAGTCACACGCACAGACGGACGAACGTGGAGGTTCGGGGGGGTGGGGGGTTCAGCACCTGGCGGTACTTGTGTCGGCCGGACTCGAAGTTGGCCGTCATCTTGTCGGGGTCCTCGGCGTCGTCGGTGTCGGGCTTCTGGTTGGAGACGGGCATGTGCTCGAGGATGCGCTGCACGTCGGGCTCGAAGCCCATGTCGATCATGCGGTCCGCCTCGTCCAGCACCACATAGGTGCAGCGGCTCAGCACCAGGTAGCGGTTCTCCAGCACGTCGATCAGACGGCCCGGGGTCGCGATCACGATCTGACGTGGGGGGCGAAGGTCACGGGTGAGTTACACGCACACGCCGTTATTTACAGGTTGATTTATAAGTAGGATGAGGTTAAAAGTAAGTGGTGCAGGTTTCAGACGACGGCTTAGAGTGTTGGCGACGAGGGCTAGGGTTGGCGGGAGGCCTACGGTGGGCTCACCTTTTTTCCGTTAAGTTTGTTGTCCTGCCCCCGCACCTCCGATTAGCATGGTTGGCTACGTACGGTGCGAAAGGAGTTCAACATACACACATATACATACCTCACAGCCCATACGCAGGCGGAAGCCCTGGTCCTCGCGGGAGATGCCTCCGATGACGGCCACAGTGCGGATGCCGAGCGGCTTGCCGAACTTGATGGTCTCCTCCTCGATCTGCTGCGCCAGCTCACGCGTGGGCGCCAGGATCACGGCGTACGGCCCTTGGTCTGTATCCTCGATGCTGCTCGCACATGGGCACACACACACACGTAAACATGCACACATATGTATATACACAAAAACAAAGATCCCCCGTATAGCCTTAACAGACTGTTGGGCCAAGTGCTGTTAGCGAGGAGCACCTCTGAAGGCCGGCACGGCACACGAGGGGGTGGCCGTTGTCTCCCGAGTGGCGATGTTTCTACACTGCACTAGGTACTCATTTGAGGCGAAATAGGGGAGGCCCAGAAAAGTTGAAGATAATTCACTACGTAACAAAATTTTTGTTCTTGGGTACTAAGTGTTATTTCCTGGCTTATGACTAAAAAGTATAGAAAGTGTCTATTATTCCCCACAAACTTTGCTTTTGTGACCAGGATTTGAGGTCAACGAAAGACACAAATGCACACGTTTTCTCATTGAAAATAGGTACATTAAAAAATATCACTGTCCTGGGGAACAATAGGCATTTTCTGTACTTTTGAGGCATGAGCCAGAAAATAACACTTAGTACCCAGGGACAAAAAAAACATGTGTTTTGTTATAGTGTCATCGTCACTGGTGTTGGCCGTGAGCGGGAATTTAACTCGTCTCGCCGGGTTTGTAGCGCAGCGTGCTAACCACGACACTACCGCTCTCGCCCTTGCTTCCCACACATGCGCACGCATGCACATGCATGCACACGCATGCACACGCATGCACCCACATACCGGTCGATCTTGGGCAGCGTGGTGATCCATACAAGCAGCGGGATGAGGAAGGCTGCCGTCTTGCCACTGCCAGTTTCGGCGATGCCGATGATGTCGCGGTTCTGCAGGCCGATGGGAATGGCTTGCCGCTGGATGGGTGTTGGGTCCTGTGCGAGAACGTGGAGTGGTGGGGGGGTGAGAGACGGGAGTTGATGGACGTGAGGTGTCCGCAACCGAAGCTAAAACTATCCACCACTCAATTCCGTCTCAATTCTCGCGGCAGGGCGACACGCGGGGGCATCTGTGGGGGTGAAGCGACGGCAAGGCAGAGGCGGGGGGAGGGTCACCACGCACCTTGTATCCACACTTTTCGATGACCTCCCTGATGTGCGAGGGCAGGATGGACTCCTTCCACAGGCGGATGGGGTTGGGGATCTTGCCGCCCTTGGTGGTGATGTTGTAGTCCTCGCGGAAGATGCGCCAGTCTCGTTCGCACATCTCCTCCAGCTTCTTCTGCGACCAGTGCCGGTCATCCCAGCGCTGCTTTGCCTCCTTCTTGCGCTCCTTCTTCAAGCGCACCCTGCTCACAGCAGGGGGGGGACACATACACGCACACACGTAGATGTCAAGGCACAAACCTCGGCACGTGCGGACAAGCACTGGCTGTGGGAAGCACTCCCGCGGCGCTGACAGAGTGAAGTCCTCAGGTCAACAACTCTGCTGGCAGCACGAGTGAGCAGCATTGGACCCACATCTATGGGTCATGGAAAGACCCACTAATCCTGGTTCTGAGCTTCTAGGGGTCTACTCCTCCTGGTTTTATTTTGACTTGAAACTTTCGTGACTGCAGAAATTCATATTCTCTTTGGTTCTTTCGGTAAAGTCACGTAGATATAAAAATAAAATAAAGTCATTAAAAATATCACGACGTTTCGATCGCAACACAAGCGGTCGTCATCAGGCAAAGGAGTCAGCCTCTAAAGACAAACTGTTCACAAAGGTTTGGGGATGGGCGAAGCCCAAGGGTATCAGCAGCACCAGGAGCACGGGCGGTGCACGAGTGCCAATGCAGCATCAATGCCAATGCAGCAGCAATGCCAATGCAGCAGCAATGCCAATGCAGCAGCAATGCCAATGAAGCAGCAATGCCAATGAAGCAGCAATGCCAATGCAGCAGCAATACCAACGCAGCAGCAATGCCAATGCAGCAAAGGACCGCCAAGAAATCGCTGCACCCCGCTCCACACACCACACTGCTGACGGTGGAGGTTGAATGACAAGAGTAATGGTTCTATGAGTGACAGAGCGAACGCATCTCATGCTATGGACCTGCCCCTGGTTTAATGAGGGATCTACTCCCCTTGGTACCAAGTAGCAATGGTTTCACTCCTCCTGGTTATAGGAACAGCGACAGAGATACGAATCCTGATTGTACGAGTAGCGACAGATTAATCTTGGTTCTACGACGAGGCATCGATAGAGCAACTGCTGCTGGTTCTACGAGCAATCGGGAACTTACTAATCCTGCGTCTCACGCGTTAAATCAGACCCACGAGTGGTTCTTCGAGTGAGGACTCCACTGCGCGTGGTTCTGCGAGTAGCCCACAGCGGGTTCTACGTGAGCGAGTGCCGTGCGTGACCCACTCCTCCTGGTCCTTCTCCTCCTGCGTGCGCCGCCTCTCCAGCAGGTCCCCGTAGAACTTGGACTGCTCCTTCTTCTGCTGCTTGAGGTCGATGCCGGCGACGTAGCCGCGCCCGTACAGCTGCACGCTGTGCCGCTCCTTGTATCTGCGCTCGGCGCACGGCACGGTGGGGGGGGGGGGGGGGGCGCAGAGGGGTCGCGAGTGTGGGCATGGGTCGGCAACCTTCCCCTGCCGGCGGGGCCACACACACACACCACAACTCGCAATTCGCCGTTGAACCCAGTACTCGTGCGAAAAGTGACGTGCGTTTCAAGCAAGCATGAAGAGGCCCTCGCGGTAAAAGTGACCGAGAGAGCTAAGATGAGAAGCGCAGTGTTGCCAGGATGACAAGATTTACGCCCAGTACCCCATGAGTGCAGCTAAGACGCTTGCAGTGACGAATGAATATAACTTTTTCATTGTTTCAATGTGGTAGGTCTGACAGCATCTAGAAGTCTCAACACATTTCCATTTCTAACCATGTCTCTACATCAACTCATTTCCATGTTTGTCTCCACACATCTACTCATCTCAGCCTGTCACTGCCAGTTTTCTCCACATCTCACATCTATGCCAAGACAATCTCCGACTCTCTGTCCATGTGTTGTCTCCTCCTCCATCCTGCCAACCATGCGGTTGTGTGCGTGCATGCAGTTGTGCGCGCACGCCGTTGTTTGGGAGCGTGCGTTTGTATGCATGCCGTGGATTGCGAGCACGTGGTTGTGTATACGAGCGTGCGGTTGTGTGTGCTGTGGTTGTGGTGCGATTGTGTGTGTGCGAGCACCGCACATGGGGTTGTGATCGACCGACGTGTCCTCGCCCGCGTCCCAGTCGAACACGAACTTGCGGTCGTTCAGACGGCGCACGCGACGGCGCTTCTTGGGCTGGCCCAGATACCGGTCCTGCGGAGGCAGCGGAGGGAGGAGTAAGAGATGAGCACGAGGAGATTGGCAAGGCCAGCGAACATAGAGTAAAGATATTGCCAAGAGACTCCGTCACAAGAGAACCCTTTCATTTGTTTATTTCCCTCATCTATATTTCGATTGGGAGCCAGTGGCGGCACGGCGGTTCGCATATTGCAGCACGAACGCGGTTTTATGATTGCGATTCTCCACACTGGCCAAAATCTGTGGCTGTGTCATGTCTGTACGCCTAGATGTCCGTCTTCTTATCGGCAAGTCCACGTATCTGCGTGCGTGTGTGTAAATGTCTGCGGGGAGCAGTAGTGTAGCGGTTAGTGCTACGCTGTGCTACGAACCTAGCGGCCCGAGTTTGATTCCCGCTCACGGCCAACACCGGTGACTATTGTCTGACCTGGACCTGGGCCTACCCTAGGTCGACTCAGCCTCGTACGAGTACCTGGTGCGGTGTGTAAACATCGCCACTGGGGAGACAAAGGCAGTCGAGCGTGGTGCTGACCACCCACCCCCTCGTGTGCCGTGCCGGCCTTGAAAGGCGCTGCTACTCGCTAACAGCACTTGTCCCTACAGTCTGTTGAAGAGTACTCGGGGGGGATCTGTGTTGTTGTCGTCGTTACGAGCTGTCAGTGTTTGCCGAGCTCTTCGTGCCACCTGCCCCTCTGTATATTTGTCCATTTCAGGGTGCATCTGTCTAGCGGTCCGCCCTTCACGGGGCATATCCGCGCCAGAGTCGTCGGTCGGCCGACGCGTCAACGTGTGTTGCGCACCTTGATGGCCTGCATCTCCTTCTCGCGGTCCTTCTCCTCGCGGATCTTGGTGCGGTCGTCCTCGTTGAGGCTGGTCTCCGTCTCTCGCTCGCGCCGCTCCCGCCGCTCCCGCCGGTCACGCTCGTACGGGTCCTCTGTGCGCGCGCACAAACGCACGTCGTTCAGCGACATGACGATTATTCTAAACGAAGAATCGTCTGTTTACATGCTAGCACAACAGTTGTCCCGAGTTCTGTTTAATCTATTCTATTTATCTTGGGAGGAATCCGATGAGCTGTGAAGCTCTTTTTTCACAGAAGCCCAGTACGAGTGGGTGAAAAAAGTTACAACAAAACAATACAATATATATTAAAATTGTAAGATGATTAGTCAAAAAATGAACTGTCAACAGATATGAGCGCAGCACAATGCTCGCTTGAGTGAAGGCCGAGTGAGATAAAAGCCTTACGGAGCCTGAAGACTCTTTTTCAGGAGGGTCCTACGATAGTTTTTACAGGAGGAGGCAATATTTCCAAGCGTGATTCCCGCTGAATAGTTTACAGGTAATGTCTCAGCACTGGGATGTTTTACAATTACCAGTGACATTGCATTTTTTGTTTGCGATAGGAAACCGGAGAATCTGGAGAAACCTGTGCAGAAGGGGGAGAGAGAGAACGTACAAACTCCACGCAGAAAGGCACCAGAGTCGGAAATCGAACCGAGACACTTCTTGCTGTGCAGCACGAGTGTTACCAATGCACCACCATAATAATTGATAAAGTTTACCTCCGCGAACACGACTAGCTCAGCCGCGGTAATGTAACCAAGGTAAATACAGCTCCAAAAAGTATCGCCGTGGCCAAGCAGAATCGGTTAACGGGGAACAGCACTGGCACGTGAATTGGTGCATCAGACTGCTTTCACGCATTTTGTTGTCATAACGCCAATTGGATATAACGTGATGAATGTATTAGGGAACATATTTTTTATAACGTGGATGCAAATTGGCTATAACGCAATCAAGTGAAAAAATCTACGTCGCTCGAGTAGGAATAAGCGGTTGTACGGCTGCCTCGGCATTGCATCGCACAAGGCGAGATGCTACTGGATGCTTCAAGATGCTACCCACGCGCCTAAGTGTTTGTTCATCCTGCATACGCATCTCACACGTTATTGCGGACCGTGCTTTACCATATATTATCCATTACAACGCGATTTCTCCATAATGCGGCGTTCTTCAGGAACGCGACTACTACCGCGTTCTAGGAGAACAGACTGTCTGTTAAAATAAGAAGCAGATTGAAGACAGGGACAGTGTTCGGGCTACTGTGTTGCCACGGCACAATTTTCCCCGAGCGGCGGTGTGCTCCACGCTCGCTCGCCACGGGTCGTGCGGAGCGAGAGGGGCGTGTGCCCGCGCGCCCCTCACGCACCCATCATCTTCTTGCCCTCCTCCTGGAAGACCATCCTCTTCTTGCGCTCCTCATCCATGGCGCGCCGCTGCTCCTCCACCTGCTGCGAGCGCCGGCGCAGGGCCTCCGCCTCGCGCTCCACCTTCGTCAGGAACTTGGGCTGGCGGGGGAACGAGCGGGGACGGGCGCAGGGCGGGTGAGAAGGTTGGACGGGAGGGGGGGTCGGGTCTCACGCCGATTTACATCTCACATCGCCCGCACCTCCGATTAGCACGGTTGGCTACGTACAGTGCGAACGTTCAATATACATACATCTTCATAATCAACGTTTTTTGGTTTAGATCGCGTTATTTATAAATGTGTCGTAACCCTCCACCACCCGACACGGCCAATCAATAAAAAGTGTCACGTTGACAAAAGACAAATAGTTCACTGCTTTAGCCCACTGGTGTGTTGATGCGTGAAACCACAACATTTACAATTTTTTAGTACATTTATAAATAATGCGATCTAAACCCAAAAACGTTGATTATGAATAATATTGGTCGCGAAAGTCTACGTGTTAAACTGATACATACATCTCATCATCTCCACACATTTCATTTGTGAATAAATTGCTCATGGTACCTTCTGCTCAGCCTCCTGCTCGGCTTTTTTGCGCGCAATCATTTCCTCCAGAGATAGCGGCTGGAACTGTGAAGGAATAAAAAACAAATAAAGCAAGGTACGTAAATCTCACTCCAACATCATCATCAGCAGCACCATTATGATCATCATCATCAGCAGCAGATGTTACTGAAGCACCTATTGCAAAAAGATATTGTTGCCAAATAAAAAAATTATGATTCACTAATAATGGATATTTTTTAAAACATAAGAGCGCCAGATGAAGGTTAGAGTGGTATCTACAATTGTGATGCACTTCCCAATGTTAGTGACGTGTGCTAAATTTTACATTTTAACTTTTGTATTTAGAGGTTTGCAAAGAGACGTGTCAAAGTCGAGTAGATTGAGGACTTGTAACTTGAGTTGGAAAAAGAGCTTCATAGCTCATTGGATTCCTCCAGAATTAAGTCTTATTCTGCTTTCAAAGTACTCCACCCACCTTTGCCTTCTTGCCATCCTCCTCCTCCTCTTCATCCTCCTCGTCCTTCTCTTTTTTCAGTCTGGATCTATCTTTATCTTTCGTCCCCTTTTTCGGTGACCTCGACCTGCACCGCAAAACACACAGAAACCAGAGCTCATTTTTTTAGTTTAAAATCCGAGCGGTGATGTGCCCCGCCACACACTGGTTTCAACTCCCGAATGTCTAAGCACATATTTACGTTTACGAGCACAAGGTTTTTTCCGTGTGGAATCACAAACACGCTTCTGATCCAGCATTCGGTGGGTCACGAAGATCTCTGAAACCCCCCAGGAGATGGTGGTACAGCGAGGAGACTTGCGAAGGCTGTATGTGTGGATGTTTTGGGTGTTATCCCCTCGTATGTGTTGTGAGCATTCTCCGGATGCTCCAGTTTCCTCTCATACTTGAAAGAACAATATATAATTGGCCACATTCCATTGCAGGGCCCTCCTGACAAAGAATATTGCAACTTTACATTGGCTTTTCTGTAAATATAAAAGTTATTATGATCATTAACCAGCTATTGTGGCTCAGCGAACGAGCGAGCGGCTCGCAATCGGAACGTTGTGGGTTAAAAACCGGACGGGGCTTGACTTGGCCGATCATCCATTTGGGATAGATACAAAGAGTACCACTTTGTGGGAAAGTCAACAGCGGTATTCCTGCGGATAGATTCGCCCCCACCAGAGAATTGTGGAATTCCCACCACCGGCCCAGGGCTGTAAACAGGAGATGAGCACCAACCTCAATGCTCACTGGAGCAGGAAATGAACTTTGACTCGTATTGATGATCATCCTAAACACCCACCTGGAGCGTTTCTTGTCCTTGTCCTTCTTCAAGTCGTCTTTGTCTTTGTCCTTCTTGTCTCTCTCCTTGTCTCTCACATCCCTTTCACGTCTCCTGCTGGAGGCAGAGACAGCAGCAGCAGTCACGACTCCGCACGTCACATGGACTGGCAGCCGCCACGTTTACGCACGCGGGAGGGGGTTGAGCTGAATCCACCAAGGAGATGCAGTATCCTTCTCAGAAGTAAACTACCAGTGATCTACCGGAGTTAGGTAACTATTCATATGCCAAATTAAAAACTGTTCATCGGGAACCATTTTACAATTGTAATTCTTCTTCTTGGTTCTTTCGGTAAAGTCACGTAGAAGGGAAATAATAAAATAATAAAATTAAAACATAATAAAAAACAATTCTCACGACGTTTCGGCCACAACGCAAGCAGCCGTCCTCAGGTGAAGAACAGGGCTGTCGGAAAGACAGCGTCTGAAAGAACACCACCAAGCGTCGTGAGAATTGTATTTTATTGTTTTATTTTTATTATTTCGCTTCTACCTGACTTTACGAAAGAACCAAGAAGATGAATCCCTGCAGTCACGAAAGCTTTAAATCGAAATTTAATTGTAATTCTAATTAGGCTCCATGGTGTATCTGTGTACTAGCCACTTGATCTCTCTGGGCTACGTGCTACGAGGAAGGGAAATTGCCTAGAACGTCACCAATTACATAGTTTTTTTTATTTAAATGCCACACGGTGCTTTGGACGAATGTTTGTTTATTTTTTATGTAACTCCGGTCCGAGTTTGGGGCATACATCAATGAGCCGGAGAGGACGACGCGGTTTGTTGGAAGCACTTTGCGGAGACAAAGCGTGCTCGGCTTAACGTATCAGTGACATCGCTAGAGTCCTGTAACGTCACACAGGTAACACTGAGAACAGTGGCTTGAAGCTGACATTTCTCTCGTAGCTTGGCGATGCTTAGAAGATGATGAGAGAGATCTGGGGTTTGGGATGCGTTTTCTTTCAATGATTGCAGTGGGGTTTCAGAGGCAGTCGCAGCATCAGTTTCTTTCACCGGACAAGCACGTGGAATTTGCACTGCTCCTCGGAGGAGCAGCTTTTTAAATTGTACGGTGCTCGTGATGTTCGTGGCGTGTTTGATGTTTGTGGGGGTGTGTAATATGATGTCAGTTTGTGGTGTGTGTATGGCATGTGGTGTGTGTGGGGTGTGCGATTTTTTTACTGTGAGTTTGCTGTGATTTGAGTTTGTAGTATGTGTGATGTTTTGTGGCAAGTTTTAATTTGTTGTTATGTGTATCTGCTGGCGGTGTTTGTGATGTAAGCGATGTTGGTGATGTATTAACGTGTGATGTTTGTGGTGAGTTTGTTGTGATGTAAGCGATGTTGGTGATGTGTGTTGACGTGTGATATTTGTTGCGAGTTCGTTGTGATGTAAGCGATGTTGGTGATGTGTATTAACGTGTGAACATTGTGGTGTGAGTTAGTTGTGATGTAAGCGATGTTGATGATGTGTGTTGACGTGTGGTGTTTGTGGTGGGAGTTTGTTGTGATGTAAGAGATGTTGGTGATGTGTATTAACGTGTGATGTTTGTGGTGAGTTTGTTGTGATGTAAGCGATGTTGATGTGTGTTGACGTGTGATGTTTGTGGTGGGAGTTTGTTGTGATGTAAGAGATGTTGGTGATGTGTATTAACGTGTGATGTTTGTGGTGAGTTTGTTGTGATGTAAGCGATGTTGGTGGCTGTGTATGCGTGATGTCAACCCATGGCACCTGGGTCTGCTCCGTCACCTCCTGCCAGCGGGCCTTCCGACACTGCACGTGACCTCAACGCGCACCTAGCCTGGCACGGGGCGCCGTGGTGACGTCACCGCCACTTAGTTACTAAAGTATGCACAGTGCGTATGTCGAACTTCTTTTGCACCGCACGTAGCCAACCGCGCTAATCGGATGTGCGGGGGAAGGACAACAAACTAAACAAAAAATAAGTTCTAAAGAAATATGCGTTTTCAATCTAAGAGACTTGAAAGTTTCATAGCTCCAATGGCTTCTGAATAATTGGCGTCTGTAGTTGTTGTTACGATGTCGGTGTGTGATGTCTGTGCTGCTTGCTGCTGCTGCGTTGGCACAGTCGGGGGCACAGGAGGTCGACCCGTGCCACTCATCTCAGTCGGTCGACCCGTGCCACTTGCCGGGTCTGACCCGTGCCACCTGCCGGGTCAGACCCGTGCCACCTGCCGGGTCAGACCCGTGCCACCTGCTGGGTCAGACCCGTGCCACTTGCCGGGTCTGACCCGTGCCACCTGCCGGGTCAGACCCGTGCCACTTGCCGGGTCTGACCCGTGCCACTTGCCGGGTCTGACCCGTGCCACCTGCCGGGTCTGACCCGTGCCACCTGCCGGGTCAGACCCGTGCCACCTGCCGGGTCTGACCCGTGCCACCTGCCGGGTCTGATCCGTGACCTCCTGCCAGCGGGCGTCCGACCACTGCACGTGGCCTCAACGTGCACCTAGCCTGGCACAAGCGCCGTGGTGCCTTCACCGCCACCTCGTGGCGAATGGCGCTTGTTGTTGTTGTGTTGGTTGTTGGGTAGGTGATGGGGGGGGTAGGTGTCCAGTCGGCCCCCGTGGTCCACCACCTAGACCACCACCACCACCTAGACCACCACCACCACCTAGACCACCACCACCACCTAGACCACCACCACCTAAACCACCACCACCACCTAGACCACCACCACCACCTAGACCACCACCACCACCACCACCTAGACCACCACCACCTAGACCACCACCACCTAGACCACCACCACCACCTAGACCACCACCACCACCTAGACCACCACCACCTAGACCACCACCACCACCTAGACCACCACCACCACCTAGACCACCACCACCACCTAGACCACCACCACCACCTAGACCACCACCACCACCTAGACCACCACCACCACCTAGACCACCACCACCACCTAGAACCACCACCACCACCTAGACCACCACCACCACCTAGACCACCACCAGTACCTAGACCACCACCACCACCTAGACCACCACCACCACCTAGACCACCACCACCACCTAGACCACCACCACCACCTAGACCACCACCACCACCTAGACCACCACCACCACCACCTAGACCACCACCACCACCTAAACCACCACCACCACCTAGACCACCACCACCACCTAGACCACCACCAGTACCTAGACCACCACCACCACCTAGACCACCACCACCACCTAGACCACCACCACCACCTAGACCACCACCACCACCTAGACCACCACCACCACCTAGACCACCACCACCTAGACCACCACCACCTAGACCACCACCACCTAGACCACCACCACGGCTCCTCACCTGTCACGCTCCTTGCTGGCAGGGGACCCCGAGCGCGGTCTGCGGTCCCGGGAAGAGCGGCGCCGGTCCCGCGGGGGGCTCGGCCGCTTCCTCTCCGCACCTCCTCCACCTCCACCACCTCCTCCACCACCGCCGCGCTCCTTGGACGAGGGCCGCTTGGCCGCTCGGCCTCGCTCCCTCTCGGCAGCCTCCTCCATGTGGCCGCCGCCTGCCTCAGCCCCTCACAGACTCCACCGCCGGCTGCCTGCTCCACCCTCGGCGCTGTGTCTGCCCCCCTCCACCCCTCACTTGATGCTCCTGCTGATGATGATGATGTTGTTGTTTGTGAACTCACTTTCTTACCAACCCCTGGGTTGGTGCGCGGTGAGGCTGACGGGGTCAGAGGTGGTGATGGTGGTGGCGAGGTTGGTGGTGGGAACGAGCTGGTCGGTGATAGTGGAGGTTGTGGTAGGAATGAGGCTGCGGTGACGGGAGGTGGAAATGAGATGAAGATGGTGGTGGTGAAGATGATGATGGTGGCGATGGCGATGTTGATGAAGCGGTGATGGACGGAGGCGAGCCCTCAGAGGGCGTAGATGACGTATGAGAGGAAGACGAGAGCGCACAACGCGAAGAACATCAGCATCACCACGTCCAGCATCGTCTCCGAGGGGGGCGACGAGGTGCGGCGAGGAGAGGGAGACGATGTCGAGAGACGCGAAGAGAAACGTGGTTGCCGCGCTCACGAATCGGCGGGTCGATTCCGGATGTTCGCACTAGAAATCGATTCCTACGTTAATCTCGCGCGTGATTTACATCTGCGCGCGCGAATGACGCCGATGTTCTTGCTGACGTTGAAGCGCGCAGGCCGTGGAGGTCTTGGCGGCAGAGTTTGGGCGATTCAAAATGTGACGGCAAAGTAGAATTTGTCTCGTGCGTCGGCTGATTCGTGTTTGCTCGCGACGATTCGACGATTCACGCAGTTGCGATTCTCGCACGTCGATTCCCGCCGTGAGACCAATCGACGGATCGCTTACCGGAGGAGGCTCACTGAGAAGAATCGATTCTATCGGTAGGTGACGATTTAGTTTGGTGAATCGATCGATTCGTTTGCCAAATTTCTAGAAGGTTCGATCCGGCAAATCGATTCGTCAAGCGGAATGGAAAATGGAGAAATAATTCTGATTCTTAAGAGTCGTGCATGTTGTATGTTGTATGTGCGTGTGTGTTGCATGTGCATGTATGTTGTATGGGGCCGTCCATAAATGACGTCACGCACCTGGTAGGGGGGTCAGACATTTGTGACGATGTGTGACGAGGGGGGGGGGGTGAGAATGTGACGTCACATAAAAATGCGCAACTTTAAATAAATATAGACAACACGTTCTACCTAATCTTAATTTTAGAACTTTCGTGACTGCAGTAAATGATTATTTGGTTCTTTCGGTTAAGTCACGTCTAAAGATAAAATAATAAATAAAATTAAATAATAGCATACGACGTTTCGATTGCAACACAAGCAATCATCAGGTATAATGAAATAGCGACATAAAATCTAACCAGAAAACTATAGACAGACATATTAGCAGACAGATATCACCAAGATACATAGAGGGAGCAACACAGGAACCAGAGAGGGGTGATCATCTCCCTCTGTCTATTTAAGGCCACCCCACAGAGATGATCACCCCTCTCTGGTTCCTGTGTTGCTCCCTCTATGTATCATGGTGATATCTGTCTGCTAATATGTCTGTCTATAGTTTTCTGGTTAGATTTTATGTCGCTATTTCATTATACCTGATGATGATTGCTTGTGTTGCAATCGAAACGTCGTATGCTATTATTTAATTTAATTTATTATTTTATCTTTAGACGTGACTTAACCGAAAGAACCAAATAAACGTTTAACTTAATTAAATATACTTTTTAATAAATGTTTTCTCCTACGACATCAGAGTGCAGCGGCACATTAAATACGCACTACAATGACAATAGTTTAAAGCGAGTTGAAGCATTTTTTTTGGGGGGGGGGGGCAGAGCTTTGTGACGTCATATTTGAGTGGGGGGGGGGGGGTCTGACTGATGGTTTACGATCCTCGTTCGAGACCAGCCAAGGGTCTGTGGTTCATTTCGTGGCAAGCGCTTTAAAGTGCGCAATGAGTTGCGACGTCATGTCTTCGTTTCAATTCAAGTCGATGAATCGAACCCTCCCCAATATGAAATCGATTTCTCGGCAGCCACAACGCGTTGACAACATGCAACGACGCATCACCAAGGTCATCACCAGGGTACCCCCCCCCCCCCCCCACCAAAACAAAACAAAGCAATCGATTATAATTGATAATTATCGAAGCCAATGAAGTCTTACCGACTGCACCATGCCGGGCACGCGCCGCGTGACGTCACGAGACGCGGGGTCGAAGGGAGGCATGACGTCACCCCCGTGTAAAGTGGCGTCACAATTGATAAAATGGACGTGCTATGAAGGAGGCCCATTGCCCAAAACGTCGCCTATTATATGTTTTATTTTAAGGCTGCAGCGTTATTGATATGTGAATGCTTAGTTTGGCTATTGATCAGTATTAAATACATACACTACCACCTCTCTACCCTCACACACGATTAACACGCTAATTATACGTAACTATACGTATAATTTATATTTAAAAAGTAATCGTACAAAGCGCCTCATCGAAATCTAAAAAAAAACCTACACCCACAAGTATCAATAAAGTCTAAAATAAATACAGTAAAAAAACGACTCTAACAATAACAACCAGAATGAGAATAATCTTCAATTCGACTGCAGGGGGAATCCGATGAGCTATGAAGCTCTGGGCGGGTCAGCGAGTTAACCGATAAAGTCATAAACTACGATCGCAATGAGCACAATCAACGGATCAATAATAAATCGGCGGTCCCGGTTCGCGAGTGCTGCGTGGCCTCGATGTGCCAGTTGCCCGAGAGCTGATTCCCAGCCACGTGATGCGGGCAGCAGAGGGCAGCACAGCAACATCTGGACTGCTGCACTGCTACGCTCCTGCTGCTGCCAGCCAGCCAGGCCGCAATGAACCGGCGTGGTGAAGTATGGCAGTGCTCTTCTTCGCAAACACCCCCCTCCCCCCATCATCATCATCATCGTTCTGCTGTCAAACCCCAATGGTTAATTTTGGAGCTTTCGTGACTGCAGGAATTATTCTTTGTTTTTTTCGGTAAAGTCACGTATAAAGATAAAATAATAAATTAAATAATAGCATACGACGTTTCGATTGCAACACAAGCAATCATCATCAGGTATAATGAAATAGCGACATAGAATCTGCTTATATGTATGTCTATAATAATTGGTTCTTTACCCTTCTATCTGGCAACAAAACTGACACCTTTTTGCAAGGAGTCATGTTTGCATAGACCGCAATACCTGCAGTCATAATACAAACAAAAGAACATAACTCTGATAATGTGCACTGTCCTTGAAGTTGATTGGTCCACACCCGAGACAGCTTTCCTTCGAGCCTAGTCTCATATGGGTTGGACCAGATGACGCCAAAAGGCGCACAACTCAAGGGCAATGCACCATCAGAGTATGAGAGCTCGGGGCAAGCATCTACACTATGGGGACCTCATTTGCCAGTAAAAATATGATAATTGGTTCTTTACCCTTCTATCTGGCAACAAAACTGACACCTTTTTGCAAGGAGTCATGTTTGCATAGACCGCAATACCTGCAGTCATAATACAAACAAAAGAACATAACTCTACATAACTCTTAGTGTAGATGCTTGCCCCGAGCTCTCATACTCTGATGGTGCATTGCCCTTGAGTTGTGCGCCTTTTGGCGTCATCTGGTCCAACCCATATGAGACTAGGCTCGAAGGAAAGCTGTCTCGGGTGTGGACCAATCAACTTCAAGGACAGTGCACATTATCAGAGTTATGTTCTTTTGTTTGTATTATGACTGCAGGTATTGCGGTCTATGCAAACATGACTCCTTGCAAAAAGGTGTCAGTTTTGTTGCCAGATAGAAGGGTAAAGAACCAATTATCATATTTTTACTGGCAAATGAGGTCCCCATAATGTATGTCTATAGTTTATATGTCTGTCTATAGTTTTCTGGTTAGATTCTATGTCGCTATTTCATTATACCTGATGATGATTGCTTGTGTTGCAATCGAAACGTCGTATGCTATTATTTAATTTATTATTTTATCTTTATACGTGACTTTACCGAAAAAACCAAAGAATAAACCCAATGGGTTCAAATGCCTGGCAGCCCTCACATTGCTGATGTCTTATTGGCGAAAGTGCCCCCCCCCCTGTAACTTAGTGAAGAACACTGAAGTATGGTGAACCCCCCCCCCACACACACATCGGACCCGCAGGCCTTAGGGAGGCCCTCATCCAGCAGTGGATTGACAGAAGGAATGAGCGGGAAATGAGTGAATGAACTGGACCCTGAAGCTCTGTAATCACAACTGCAGTCTGACTCTACACATTTCAACAAGTCCGTTATTTTAGTTCCATAAGCCTCTTCCAGAACAATATTATCCAGCGGCAGTTTGTTTTAGCAAGGAAACTCAACAGACCTGGTTTCGATTTTCTGGGTTCTCATCAGTGGAGGTCAGCTGGCTTGTAAAAATGCGAGCATTGTTGACAGACAATGCCAGCCTCCATCCAGCAGTTGAGAGACAAATAGCTGCTGTTGCTGATATTCACATTAATTATATGAATAAAATCAATGACTGTGCCCTCATCCCTCACCGATCTCACGCCACCACGAGTCAATCTCAAGAGGAACACAAAGCCACAGCTTGACAAGTCTGGGGCACCGGTGAAAGTGCCCCGAGGGGTGGTGGTGGCGGCTACGCTGCTGCACCGTGGCTGCCTGTAACCCAGCACTGTGGAGACGAGGGTTGGTGGATCACACACAGATGCTGTGGAACTCTCTTCCCGTGGGCCTCCAGGAGGGGCCTGGCTCGCCAGGCGAAGGCGATGCGGGGAATTGTAATTGCTAAAAATGTCGCTGATTAAAACCCCATTATCCGACTCTCCACGTGAACACGGTCATCCAATTATTTCAGACATGACTCATCGGTCCCAAGGCTCTTCTTACCGAGAATGCGTAATTTAAATAGCATTTCGACTTTCTCATCAGCGGAGTCAGTCTTGCTTGAACTATCCAGCCCACCCGCGACACAGTGCCGGATTAAGCCAGTGCGGGGCCTGTAGCATATGTTATAAAGGCGCCCTAAATAAAAAAGAAACTAATATTAAAACTTTTTTTTACTTGCAAAGTTAAGCAATTGCATTTTTCATTTGCTATACAGCCAGATAATACGACAAATCGCTAACATTAAACACCCAGTCGTTCATAAAAGTTGAAGACAGTATATTACTATAGTAATAGAGCAAGTGCAGAATCACTGAACCGGAATTGATAGCTTGAAAGTATTTAGCTCGGGACCCTTGAAAGTGCCGGGGCCCGTAGCATTTGTAGCTACTTTTGCTACGAGGATAATCCGGCACTGTCCCTACCCCTGGGTAAATAAAACTCAATCATGAATCTCTCAATTCCAGGAGTACAAAATGCTTAATATTATCAGAACATAAAAAAATGAACTTTATTTATATATATTTTTACTAAATATAAAAATGTCAAATGTATGTACATATGTTGAACTTCTGTCACACCGTACGTAGCCAAACGTGGTTATCCTCCGGTGCGGGGGAAGGACAACAAACTAAACACAAAAAGCACTTCGAAATACATGAATTTTCATTCCAGATGACGATGATTAAAAGTTGCATAGCCCCAGCGGCTTCCTAATATCGGAAGGGAAGAGCGCGTTCCAGACGGCCGCAGAAGCAGCGTCACCTGAAAGCGCCGCGCGACGATTCGGTGACCGCCGTCGTTTGTTCGGCGGCTGAGCCAGAAGCCGGATCACAGCCCCCCCTTCTCCCCGCAGGTCCCAACCAACCGGCGGTTCCCCACGGACCCCCGAAATTAGCCGGGGACCGCACTTTGAGAACCACTGCTGTTCACGATCTCTCATCATAATCCGCTCGCTTCATTTGTTTCGATTTAATACAACGGGGGTTTTTTAAAAATATTTTTTATTCGAGACACGACAAAATGATACAAAACGTGTATTTGTTATATAAGCGTATATTTGAAGCTTTCGTGACTGCAGGAATTACTTTTTGGTTCTTTCGGTAACCCACAGGCTTGTATAGGTCCATTTGCTCTTTCTCTCCCCCGGCCGCTACGGAGTGGATTTCCACACAACTGTCTGATTGACATGCTAATTTCTCTAGCCCCCCTCCCTCTCTCGATATTTAAGGCCTCGACACAGAGGCGTTGTTTTTCTGTGTCTGTGTGTGTCTCTCTCTGCTTGTGTGTCAGTCTCTGTGTCTCCGTGTCTGTGTTTTGTCTCTCTCTCAAATGTATCAATCTTTGAAGAACGTGGTCAACCAGGTAGGGTGTTGACTGTTGTGTTCGCCGACTCTCTGTGTTGTATTGCATTATATTGCTAAGTTTACTATGTTTGTTTTCTCATTCATTCTTACCTGATGACGATTGCTTGTGTTGCAATCGAAACGTCGTATTCTATTACCTAATTTATTTTCTTTCTACGTGATTTTACCGAAAGAACCATAGAGTAAGCGTATTAATATTTAGAATACATGTAGCGGCATATATATATAATGTATACGTGCGTTTTAGCCCACTCCTAAATGTTGAAGTTAATACATTAGTGGGATTAGTCATACACCCGTTACGTCTCGCAAGGGTTTATTATATTAAAGCAGTGTTTGTGTTTCACATAAACCTCTAAACACATTATCCACGTGCCCTCACGTTCAGTATCTATACAGACAAACATTCTGGATAGATCGATATTCTGGATAGATAGACATTCTGTAAACAGATCTTTTCAGTTCAATTTGATTTTTTTAAGGGGAAAACTCAAAGTGAGTTCTCCTACTGCTGCTCGAACGAGCTGCTCGTCTCCTGTTTACATTCCTGCAGTGCCAGCGGTGGTACTTCCACATTCCTATGGCGAGAGGCGAGTATCCATCAGACAATCATTCTTGACTTCCTAACAAAGTGGTGCACACTTTAACCACCCTGGAGGGTGGGGGGATGATGGGCTGAGTCAATCCCCGACCAAGAGTTGAACTCGCAGCATTCTGATTGTGAGCTGTGAGCTCCATTACTGATCCCCATTTTGTCGGCGTTTAGTGCTACAGACGATGAAGGGAGGGCATCTGAGGGACGGGAGATCGAAGGAGGAGATATGTGAGGGAATGGAGGGTGTGATGGCAGGGACTGTGAGAGACTGGGATTCTGTGCGGGACAGGAGGCGGTGATGGCAAGGCCTGTGAGAGACTGGGGCGTGGAGAGAGGAGAGGGCACGGTGGTTTCTCGCTTCCTCCTCCCTCGGGCTCCCCGCGTCGTGCTCACTGCATCTCGCACACCTCTTCGTATGGCGGCTGTCGTGGTGTAGGCCTCGGCATTCCCAAGCACTGTGGCACAGAGACACGGACAGTGGCAGAGCACGGTTGGCTACGTACGGTGCGAGAGAAGTTCAACATACATACAACACAAAAATAAGTTCCAGGCAGAAAACGATGGGTTTTCAAACACCACACAGAGCCGTGTACAACAAAGAACCCCCACTGCCCGTCCGTGTCGTCTTAACAGACTGTAGAGGCAAGTGCTGTTAGCGAGCACCTATGAAGGCCGGCACGGCACACGAGGGGGTGGGTGGCGGACAGACTTTGTCATCCACGCTGGGATGGTGGTGGTGATGATGGTGTATCGATTGAAAACTCATTACTTTAAAACTGCTTTTGTGTTTCAGTATGTTGGCCTTCCAACGCACCTCCGATTAGCACGGTTGTCTACGTACGGTGTGAAAGAAGTTCAAACTACATACATGCGTGCATTGGGTTTCGTGTCTCAGTTATCAACGTATTATACAAAAAAACCATATATTTAGTCAAATAAAATCGAATATCTGACTTTAAATTGACACCCAGTATGTATTTGATGATTTAACATTGTTTCTTTGGCCTAATGTGTGGAACTGCTCAGAGGGGGAACTTCCATCATCGCAGTCATTTGGAGAGCGGTTTCCGCCACGGTCAATCGCCTGAAAATTTCTTTGCCAGGCGGTGTTCGTGAGACGTTTCTCCGGGTGGAAAATGTTAATTCCACCTCTGCAAGCTGTCGAGTGGAGGTGGTGGCAGAGGTGCGCACACGCGCACGGTTATCATAGACGCGAACTTTCCGAGAACTCCCTCGTTGTCCTCTCAGCACATCACCGCGTGTTGAGGTTTACAACCACGAATCGATCCGGGCAGGCGGGCGGGCGGGCGGCCGAGTGCTCGAGCCCGGCCGTCCTCCCGGTCCCTTATCCCTCGCTCACCCCGGTGAGTCGCTCGTCCCCGCCAGGAGGCCGGCGGGCCCAGCGGGTGGCGGCCACCACAAGCAGCAGCAGCACCGCCAGGGTCCCCAGCACCGTGACCAGGCCGCCCGCTCTGGGCCCCCCCTGTGGGGGCCCCGCCGAGGGCGTCGCCTCCTCCAGTTCGCGCCGTCGCCCCTCACCTGCGTGGGTGGAGAAGCGGGAGTCGTGGCTGCGTGGTGGTGGCGGCGGTGGCAGTGGCGGTGTTGGCGGTGGTGGTGGCAATGGCGGCAGTGGCGGTGGTGGTGGCGGTGATAGCAGTGGCGGCGGTGGTGGTGGCGGTGGTGGTGGCGGTGGTGGTGGCAGTGTTGGCGGTGGTGGCAATGGCGGCAGTGGCGGTGGTGGTGGCGGTGATAGCAGTGGCGGTAGTGGTGGTGGTGGTGGCGGTGATAGCAGTGGCGGTAGTGGTGGTGGTGGTGGCGGTGATAGCAGTGGCGGTGGTGGCGGTGGTGGCGGTGGTGATAGCAGTGGCGGTGGTGGCTCCCTCGCTTGCGGGCCGCGGTCAGTAAAACTGACCTCTGAAGCTGAGGTCACACGGTGCAATTTCTTTTCATTGTATCGTAAATAAGACAAACACGATTTGGCGACTCTTTGGTGAACGTCACATTGTGTTGGTTACTTTTAGTGAAGTGTGGACTATCATCTCCATCTGAGTGTGGTCTCTCTGCCCCCTCCTCATGCGCGTGGGGTTTTCTCCGGGCGCTCCGCTTTCTTCCCACGTGTATAAACACAACTCGTACATCGGCCGAAAACATCTCAACATAAAAAAACACTAATGTAGCAGGACCCTCCTGTAACAAGAAAAAAGTAATTGGCCTCAGGTGTGGCTCTCCTTGATACATAAGAACTTACTATTTTCGTTTATTATAAATGCAGGCGAATTAAGCGTACAGCTGTTGGCCCACGTCGCGCAGCGCCTTTAAACTTGCCACTGGTCCTGGGGCCAGGGAATCGACGTTTCGCACTGTTCAGCCCCCCCCCCCCATCTCGCCAATTTGCCTCTGGGTTGCGCAGGTTCTGGCCGGGTCGCGTCGCGCCTCCGATTAAGCACCGTCAGCTACGTAGGTCAATGTCGCACCGTACACGCGTGCACGTACGTCTGCGACTCACAAACTCTGAGGCTGCCCACGCTGTGTCCGTGTCTCTGTTCGCGTCCCTCTTCGTCTTTCTCCATCATGCCCTCTTTACTGGATATCCACATCTATTCGATGAAAAACTGCTCGCAAAAACTGAGAGGGTGGATAGAAATGCATACGTCCCTGCCAAGAAAAAACAGGAGGGATATCGTCCTCGGAAAGAAGATAAACGGCGAGTTCGGTAACGTACGGGAATTAAGATTCAAATACGCCGGGTAAATTGTCTTCTTCCTAAATGGAGAGCGCCAGGAATTGTCTCACATTCTCCTGTCCTGTTGCGTCTATCTCTCCAATAGTCTGCCCCTCTCTTTCGTCGTCTCTAATCTCATGCTCTTGTGGAACTCAACGGCCCTGGCCAAGCGGAAGCTTCAGCTTGGCCAGGGCGGTGAGCGCCGCCTCGGGATCAACCGCCAAGCGTCTTCAGGCAACAACAACAATATCAACAACAACAACACGGAGACAGGCGGAGACGGACGCAGACGGACGCAGGATGATCCCACTCGAGCCCAATCCATCGTGACAGTGGCCCCGGGGCCATCCGCGTGAGCGCAGGGTGAGCGACAAGCACCAGAAGTGGTGCACAGCACCTGCTGCCCCAAACGAGGCACACGTGAACCCCCGGCTCAACTCTCATTGAGGAGTAATGCGGTTCTAGGAAGCCACCGTGATTGCTGCCCCCGGGAAACCACCAATCACCCAGCAGACGCCTGCTTCCGGCGCGGGGCGCAGGAGCGAGAAGGGATCGAGGTGGGGGCGTGCGCGACGTCCGTGTCACCGATTCAGAGAAGTCGGAGAAGCAGGTGGTGCCATGCCTCTCTAATCCGGTTCGAACACTTTGAAGAAAAAATATCAAGGAACGAATTGAGCCCGGGGGTCGGGGGGAGGGAGGGAGAGGTAGGGGAGGGGGCGACCACGAGTAGTAGGGCCGATATTCTGTTTGAGCAAAAATGTAAACATCGAAATTTGATGACGAGCAATCGAACGGCGAGGCAGGTGAAGGCTTGCTCTCGCCGGGCCGGGAGGAGCAGCGGAAGGGAGGCGGCGTCGCGGGCTCGCGCGGATCGAGGATGGTCTCCATGACCGTCGCGCGCCGCAGCTAAACCGGATCGGTGACAATCGCAGCGAGGACGCGCGCCAGCGCGGCTCCCAGTCACGTGGTTACCCAGCTCGACCGCGCGTGTTGGTGCGTGCAAGTGCCGGGTGTCGAGGGTGCTCGTGCGCGTGGGGGTTTTCTCTGGGGCCCTCTGGCTTGACTCGAATGAATGAACGGCCAGCACGCAGCGACGGTCGTGTGGTTTCGGGTTGTACTGTCATCAGAGAGCCGCAGAACGAGCACGGTGCAACGACGTGGTGCCAATAAAGACCCGCTCGTCCACCTTGCACGTTTTTGCCAAAAAAATTGCGCGAAAACTAGGAACGTTCGCTCAACGCCTCGCGAATCGAACGCCGAGGGGAACGATTGGCGGCACTGAACGCTGCCTCGTGGCTACGCCGCTGCACGTGGCCGGCAAATCCAGCAGCGTGGAGGCAGCGGCGGCGAGAGTTGGCGGATCGCGACGTGGACATCGAAGAGGAGCCACACCCTGGCATCGCCTGTTCCGTCTTTGCGGGATGAAGGGACCTCACCGAGCGAAACTCCGGACGGGGCAGTGGTCGCTCCTCCCCGGGTCCCCGGAGCTGTGGAGGTCAGGTTCCCCTCTGGGTCCTCGCCGCAGATGTCACCGTGTGTCTGGGTCGCGTCGCGTTGGACGAAGAGGTTAGGGGGCTAGGCGTGGAGGGCAGGCGGGGCAATGGGACACAGGGGCAGGACTGGTGTCCAGCATCTCGGTGGTGACGGCTGCGGCAGTCACGTGGCCGGGCGATTCAGAGGCTGGAAACGCAGCGCCGGCACCACGGAAGATCCTGGGTTCAAATCGAGGTTTCAGCTGCCCCAAATACAATGTACAGTGGCCTAGCTTTTAAGGCACCTTTATATATAGATATATATTTTAAAAAATAACAACAAAAAGTTGCCTTTAGAGAAATAAAGTTTGACTGAGTGAGTGAGCCCCGCAGTGGTTAATACGAAATCCGCCTCTCAGATGAACATGGTTGCCTACGTACGGCGCGAAAGAAGTTCAAGGTAAATACATCCGTACAAAACGCGTTCTCCCTGTCGCCAATACGGCGGCGGCGGCAAAAAGAACCCCGCAAGTGGATGTACAGCTGCACGGCTGCACGGAGGGGGGTCTTTGCAGCGTGGACTGCTGCCCTTCTCACCTTCTCTGGGCAACCAGCGTGCACCCACTCCTGACGGTAGCGATCCAGCAGCCCATGGGAGCATCTGTCAAGTCACGCGGGCACCGCCACAACAAAAAAAACCACAGAGCCACCTTTATTATTCTTATTATCACGAACCAAAACTATCAAAAAAATATTTTTTTTTTATTTGACCAGGTAAGGCTCACTGAGCTGGTGTGTCGCTCTTTTTGTTCACAAGCGACCAGCCTATCACAAATGACGGCTCGGCGAAGTCGGCTTATCGTCACGTGCACATTGATATCAGCCAAATACTCCAAAGGCACGTTTCTAAATATGCAGGGGAAAAACGGGACGTCTCGGAGACAGATCCACGCGACCACGGGGAGAACCCACAACCTCCTGCATACCAGGCGAGGTAGTTAACATCCCGCCGCCGCGGCGCCTTTACCAGGACCGCCGCTCAATTCGAACTATGAACGGCTGGGGATTGATTAAATTGTAATCGATCGCAGGTGAATGTACAGGTGAGTGTACAGGTGAGTGTACAGATGTTTGATAAATGAGTTTACAGGTCAGGTCGACTCAGCCTGCAATGAGTACCTGCTGCGGTGTGTAAACATCGCCACTCGGGAGGCAAAGGTGGCCGGGCGTGGTGTTGGCCACCCACCCCCTTGTCTGCCGTGCCGGCCTTTATAGGTGCTCGCTAACAACACTTGCCCCAACAGTCTGTTAAGGCTATACAGGGGATCTTTGTCTTTGTAGGCGAGTGTGCGGGTGAGTGCGTGGGTGAGTGTGTAGGTGAGTGTGTGGGTGAGTATGTAGGTGAGTGTATGGCTGAGTGTGCGGGTGAGTGTGTAGGTGAGTGTGCGGGCGAGGGTGAGCGTGAGTGTGTGGGCGAGTGTGCAGGTGTGTAGGTGTCTGTAGGTGAGTGTGTAGGTGAGTGTGTAGGTGAGTGTGTGGGTGAGTGTGTGGGTGAGTGTGCGGGTCGGTGTGCGGGCGAGTGTGCAGGTGAGTGTGCAGGTGAGTGTGCGGGTGAGTGGATCTGCGCCTCACCTGCCCACGCCATGGCACCAGAAGCAGTGGAAGCCGATGCGAGCGGAGACGCACTCCGCGCAGCTCCTCAGCTGCTGGCACACTGAGGAGGGGGGGGTGCGCAGGGCATTGGTGAAGAGAGGCTGAACGACGCGGCGTGCAATGTTTGAGCGAGAGCCGCAGTTCAAGTGCAATGGAGGTGGATGTGAGTCGCGCGCGTGCAGTGAGGCGCTGCACAGAAGCAGTGGGAATCTTTTTTTTTATTTCACACGGGGACCGGGAGTCGATGGCACGGGTGGCTGGGGGAAGGGCGCTCGGAACGCTGGAGGAGGAGGATCTACACCATTGTGTGGACACGAGGATGATGGCCCCTGGTCGAGACTAATCGCGGAGTGGCAGCCAAGGCAGGGGACGGGCCAGAGAGCGTGTCCACTGCGGAGACGGAGCGATGGAACGAGCGGTAACATCGCAGGAACGTGAGAGGCGGGGATGGCTTGGCGAAGCCTTCATCCAGCAGCGGATTGACCATGGCTGATGACGAGGTACATACGTATGTAGGCCGAACTTCTTTCGCACCGTATGTAGCCAACCGTGCTAATTGGAGGTGCGGGAACTAATCATTATCATGATTAGGCCGACGTTTATGGAGTGGGGGGAGGGGTGGGGGGGAGGTGCGGGGGGGGGGTGAGAGTGCACGTGACAGTGGGGGCAGTAACTGGGCAGAGGCAGAAACTGGATGGCAGCGCCGCTCCGCACGAGCGACACGTCCAGCATCACCCGCTCGTACTCGTAGAGCACGCGCCGCGACCAGCCTACACGGGGAGAGGGGCACGTGGGGTGGGAGAGAGAGGGCACGGGGGGGGGGGGGGGGAGAGGGCACGGGTGGGAGAGAGAGGGCACGGGTGGAAGAGAGAGGGCACGGGTGGGAGAGAGACAGTTTCTTCCCATCTGCTGCTGGTCTCTTCAACAAGGCCAGGGGCTCAAACTGACTTTAACACTCAAACTGACTTTAACACTCAAACTGACTTTAATGCTCAAACTGACTTTAACACTCAAACTGACTTTAACACTCAAACTGACTTTAACACTCAAACTGACTTTAACACTCAAACTGACTTTAACACTCAAACTGACTTTAACACTCAAACTGACTTTAACACTCAAACTGACTTTAACACTCAAACTGACTTTAACACTCAAACTGACTTTAACACTCAAACTGACTTTAACACTCAAACTGACTTTAACACTCAAACTGACTTTAACACTCAAACTGACTTTAACACTCAAACTGACTTTAACACTCAAACTGACTTTAACACTCAAACTGACTTTAACACTCAAACTGACTTTAACACTCAAACTGACTTTAACACTCAAACTGACTTTAACACTCAAACTGACTTTAACACTCAAACTGACTTTAACACTCAAACTGACTTTAACACTCAAACTGACTTTAACACTCAAATAGACTTTAACACTCAAACTGACTTTAACACTCAAACTGACTTTAACACTCAAACTGACTTTAACACTCAAACTGACTTTAACACTCAAACTGACTTTAACACTCAAACTGACTTTAACACTCAAACTGACTTTAACACTCAAACTGACTTTAACACTCAAACTGACTTTAACACTCAAACTGACTTTAACACTCAAACTGACTTTAACACTCAAACTGACTTTAACACTCAAACTGACTTTAACACTCAAACTGACTTTAACACTCAAACTGACTTTAACACTCAAACTGACTTTAACACTCAAACTGACTTTAACGCTCAAACTGAGTTTAACGCTCAAACTGAGTTTAATGCTCAAACTGACTTTAACGCTCACACTGACTTTAACGCTCAAACTGAGTTTAACGCTCAAACTGACTTTAACACTCAAACTGACTTTAACACTCAAACTGACTTTAACACTCAAACTGACTTTAACACTCAAACTAACTTTAACACTCAAACTGACTTTAACACTCAAATAGACTTTAACACTCAAACTGACTTTAACACTCAAACTGACTTTAACACTCAAACTGACTTTAAACACTCAACTGACTTTAACACTCAAACTGACTTTAAACACTCAAACTGACTTTAACACTCAAATAGACTTTAACACTTAACACTCAAACTGACTTTAACACTCAAACTGACTTTAACACTCAAACTGACTTTAACACTCAAACTGACTTTAACACTCAAACTGACTTTAACACTCAAACTGACTTTAACACTCAAACTGACTTTAACACTCAAACTGACTTTAACACTCAAACTGACTTTAACACTCAAACTGACTTTAACGCTCAAACTGAGTTTAACGCTCAAACTGAGTTTAACGCTCAAACTGACTTTAACGCTCACACTGACTTTAACGCTCAAACTGAGTTTAACGCTCAAACTGACTTTAACACTCAAACTGACTTTAACACTCAAACTGACTTTAACACTCAAACTGACTTTAACACTCACACTGACTTTAACACTCAAACTGACTTTAACACTCAAACTGACTTTAACGCTCAAACTGACTTTAACACTCAAACTGACTTTAACACTCAAACTGACTTTAACACTCAAACTGACTTTAACACTCAAACTGACTTTAACGCTCAAACTGACTTTAACGCTCAAACTGACTTTAACGCTCAAACTGACTTTAACGCTCAAACTGACTTTAACGCTCAAACTGACTTTAACGCTCAAACTGACTTTAACACTCAAACTGACTTTAACACTCAAACTGACTTTAACACTCAAACTGACTTTAACACTCAAACTGACTTTAACACTCAAACTGACTTTAACACTCAAACTGACTTTAACACTCAAACTGACTTTAACACTCAAACTGACTTTAACGCTCAAACTGACTTTAACGCTCAAACTGACTTTAACGCTCAAACTGACTTTAACGCTCAAACTGACTTTAACACTCAAACTGTCTTTAACACTCAAACTGACTTTAACACTCAAACTGACTTTAACACTCAAACTGACTTTAACGCTCAAACTGACTTTAACGCTCAAACTGACTTTAACGCTCAAACTGACTTTAACGCTCAAACTGACTTTAACACTCAAACTGACTTTAACACTCAAACTGAACTGACTTTAACACTCAAACTGACTTTAACACTCAAACTGACTTTAATGCTCAAACTGACTTTAACACTCAAACTGACTTTAACACTCAAACTGACTTTAACACTCAAACTGACTTAACACTCAAACTGACTTTAACACTCAAACTGACTTTAACACTCAAACTGACTTTAACTTACTCAAACTGACTTTAACACTCAAACTGACTTTAACACTCAAACTGACTTTAACACTCAAACTGACTTTAACACTCAAACTGACTTTAACACTCAAACTGACTTTAACACTCAAACTGACTTTAACACTCAAACTGACTTTAACACTCAAACTGACTTTAACGCTCAAACTGAGTTTAACGCTCAAACTGAGTTTAACGCTCAAACTGACTTTAACGCTCACACTGACTTTAACGCTCAAACTGAGTTTAACGCTCAAACTGACTTTAACACTCAAACTGACTTTAACACTCAAACTGACTTTAACACTCAAACTGACTTTAACACTCACACTGACTTTAACACTCAAACTGACTTTAACACTCAAACTGACTTTAACGCTCAAACTGACTTTAACACTCAAACTGACTTTAACACTCAAACTGACTTTAACACTCAAACTGACTTTAACACTCAAACTGACTTTAACGCTCAAACTGACTTTAACGCTCAAACTGACTTTAACGCTCAAACTGACTTTAACGCTCAAACTGACTTTAACGCTCAAACTGACTTTAACGCTCAAACTGACTTTAACACTCAAACTGACTTTACCACTCAAACTGACTTTAACACTCAAACTGACTTTAACACTCAAACTGACTTTAACACTCAAACTGACTTTAACACTCAAACTGACTTTAACACTCAAACTGACTTTAACACTCAAACTGACTTTAACGCTCAAACTGACTTTAACGCTCAAACTGACTTTAACGCTCAAACTGACTTTAACGCTCAAACTGACTTTAACACTCAAACTGTCTTTAACACTCAAACTGACTTTAACACTCAAACTGACTTTAACACTCAAACTGACTTTAACGCTCAAACTGACTTTAACGCTCAAACTGACTTTAACGCTCAAACTGACTTTAACGCTCAAACTGACTTTAACACTCAAACTGACTTTAACACTCAAACTGACTTTAACACTCAAACTGACTTTAACACTCAAACTGACTTTAACACTCAAACTGACTTTAATGCTCAAACTGACTTTAACACTCAAACTGACTTTAACACTCAAACTGACTTTAACACTCAAACTGACTTTAACACTCAAACTGACTTTAACACTCAAACTGACTTTAACACTCAAACTGACTTTAATGCTCAAACTGACTTTAACACTCAAACTGACTTTAACACTCAAACTGACTTTAACACTCAAACTGACTTTAACACTCAAACTGACTTTAACACAATATCTGCACAATGACACCCTGCCATATTTGCATTATGTGACCCTATTTGCATTTTTGTAATTTTATATTGTATATTATAGCTATTGTATATCTTAGATTTTATTTTATTCAATTATTACATACTTTAGCTCTTTAATATTAGTTAGACTTGTAAACCACTTATTTAAGATTTAAGATTCCTATATGTTGAATGTATGCACCTTCCAGCCAAAGTAAATTCCTTGTCTGTGCGAACTTTCATGGCGAATAAAACCCCTTTCTGATTCTGATTCCATAGAGGGAGAGAGGGCACGTGGGGAGAGAGGGCACGGGTGGGAGAGAGATAGTCCATAGAGGGAGAGAGGGCACGGGTTGGAGAGAAATAGTCCATTGAGGGAGAGACGGCACGGGGAGAAGGTACAGAGTGGAACGCTCTTCCTTCCGATTAGGAAGCCGCTGTAGCTATGTACTTTTAAATATAAATTGAAAACGAATTTCTTTAGAACCGATTTTTGTGTTTAGTGTGTTGTCCTTCCCCCATACCTCCGATTAGCAGCACAGTTGGCTATGTACGGTGCGAACAAAGTTCGACATACATACTGTACATACACATACAACATACATACAGGTTAGTGAACATTATAATTGTAAGAATACACGCTCAACAGCGATTTGATGAATTCTCACGATTGGGAGGTCGCCTCCAACCAAAAAAACTCACGCCATCTCCTTGTTTTACCGTTTCATGTTTTACCGTAAAATACAATAAATGTTATTTAGTTGTATTGGTCTTCCACAATACAGGTTTTTTGGGTTAGATCGCGTAAATATATAAAAGTGTCGTTAAACCCGCCACCATCCGACAGCCAATTAGCAAGGCTTGTCACGTAAACAGAAGGTGCCAATTCGTTACAAGCACAGCACACCTGTGTGTTATTGGTCTTATCGTTACGGTTTTGTTTACTCCCTTCGCGTACGCGACACAACGAGCGTGTCTGCGGACGGTCTGCTTACATCCGTGACCAATTCTCTCGCACACCTCCCGCCCCGCCCCGTGTCCCCGTGAGGTCGCGATCCGGGGCGAGTCGCGACAGAGCCCTTGCTGGAACAATTACAGCTCAGAGAGAGGGTGGGATGGGTGGTTGATGGGTGGGATGAATGGTTGATGGGTGGGATGGATGGTTGATGGGCCGGATGGACGGTTGACAGGTCGGTTGATCGTTGATGGGTGGTGGGATGGTTGTATGTATCTTGAACTTTTTTCGCAACGTACGTAGCTAACCTGAACACAACAAGCAATTCTAAAAAGCTAGTTTTCAATTTAGTGTAGTGGTGTAGCATATAGTAGTGTATAGTGTGTGGTGTATCGTAGTGTACTCTATAGCAGTGTAGTGTAGAGTATGTATGTTGCACTTCTTTCGTGCCGTACGTAGCCAACCGTGCTAATCAGAGGTGTGCGGGTAAGCACGAGAAGGTGAACACGTGGGGCGCGGGGAGTGAGTGGGGCGCGGGGAGTGAACCGCGGCCCACCTGGCCTGGCGGCGTCTGGTGGGGTCACGGTGAAGGCGTCCGAGAGGCCGACGCGCACGGGGTGACGAGCGGTGGCGAGCGACGCGATCGGCACGGGGACCTGGGAGCGACGTCGCCATCACCGACACCATCACCGACATCATCACCGAAACCATCACCGAAACAATCACCGACACCATCACCGAGACCATGACCATTACCGTCACCGACATCATCATCATCAACAGCACCAGTTGCAGCACCATCTTTATCATGATCAAAACCACGGCCAACACCCCCTTTGACATCATCATCTAAAGTACAACCAATAAAACCACCACTAATGTCATCATGGCTATGATCACCATCATCATCACTACCAAAACACACCGACACAACCATCGCTGTTATTGTTGCCACAACGAGCACTACCGACATCACCAGAATCGCCGCCACCAGCGGTGCTCACCGTGGCGGTGCTCACCTGGCGGTAGGCGAACACGATGGTGCCCGACCGATGCAGCGACACCTGGAAGGTGAAGGACGCTCCACGCGAGTCGTTCTGCAGCCGGACATTGCGCCACTCCACCACCATCACCGAGCCTGAACATCACCACCACCATCATCATCATCAGAGCTACTCCACCACCATCACCGAGCCTAAACATCACCACCATCATCATCATCACCACCATCATCGTCATCAGAGCCACTCCACCACCATCACCGAGCCTAAACATCACCGTCATCACCATCATCAGAGCCACTCCACCTTCATTACCGAGCCTGAACATCACCACCATCATCACCACCATCATCATCATCACCACCATCATCGTCATCAGAGCCACTCCACCACCATCACCGAGCCTAAACATCACCGTCATCACCATCATCAGAGCCACTTCACCACCATCACCGAGACTGAACATCACCACCATGATAATCAAAACCGCTCCACCACCACCACATCACCACCACCATCATCATCGCGGCCCCTGCCATCGTCACCGTTGTCGAAGTGGTTGATGGACGAGCGGGGGTCGAGTCCTGGAGCGAAGTCGGCCATGAGCGGCGCGATGAACTGGGCCGAGGTGAGGTCGACGTGGCCAGGGTCCCTCGATGGTCGACAGGAACCCTGCGGCGCCATGAGTTCAGAACAACATTCACTGGCACGCGTCGTGACGGGGCGCTGCGAGGTCCCACCGCGTGCGTGGTAAGATGTCTAAAACACCAGACAGAATCGCTTTGTCAAGAAATCGTGTCACTGCATTGACCACACACAGTACTTGTCCCATGATGTAGCTGCTCGCCCCGACCTATAAATGCCCTGATAGTGGCATCGCCCTTGTACTGTTCGCCTTTTGACGTTCTCTGGTCTCACACTTTGAGACTCGGCTCTAAAGAAAGCTGTCTCTTTTTAGTTTGCACGTTCACCACAGGTGTCGTGTGGTTAATGCAGACAGGATTCCTTGAAAAAGGATTAATTTGGAAGACGTCACCTCTTAATGAGTATTAATGAGGGGGGCTGTTCGATGTGGAGTGACGTCACCTGCTCATGATTATTAATGAGGGGGGCTGGTCCACGTGGAGTGACGTCACGCGCGGGACACACATACATTCTTGGCTCATTATAGTAGTAATTGAAGTGAGAATGTTCCGTCATCTGCTGTGTTTGTTTACAAGTCGCTCTGCGTGTGCAAAGCGGCTCTCGAACGATTTTGGTCAAAGACAAAAAACTAAACTGGCTCCTCCTCTTCTTCTTTAGAAGTTTGCTGACTCCTGTAGCAGACATACATGTACAGAGACGGGGGGGGGGGGTCGAGGGGGAGGTGATGTCGTACCTCCCGTGGCGATTCCAATGTCCGTCAAGTCGTGTCCAAAGTACGGGAACGGGAAGGACAGGCGAAACCTCTGCAGGGGCGAGAGATGGCAAATTGGCCGACTCGTGAGGCTTGGGTTGTTGTGACCGCGGGCGAAACATCGCACCGACATTGTAATTGTTGCGGCTTTTTTCTCGCCAACAAACCGGTTGTGCTGAAGTAGTCACCAATTGACACTTATGGGTGACAAACCTGACTAATTGGCTGTGTCGGGTTGGTGGCGAGGTTACCGAGGCATTTATATTTACACGATCTAACCCAAAATAAACCTGTATTATGGAAAACCAATAAACGTAATTATGAATAATATCGGTCGCGAAAGCCTACGACGTGTTAAACATATGGGAGAGACCTGGTGGGGGTGGGATTACTTTCGAATGAGCAGGGATTACGTTCCGATGAACAGGGAATTACTTTCAAAGTAGTGAAGATTACTTTCCAATGAGCAGGGATTACCTTCGGATGAGCGGAGATTACTTTCTGATTAGCGGTAATTAATTTACGATGAGCAGGGAATTACTTTTCAAGGAGTGGGTATTACTTCCCAATGATCATGGATTACTTTCCGATGATCAAAGATTACTTTCCGATTAGCGGTAATTAATTCCAGATGAGCGGAGATTACTTTCCGATTAGCGGTAATAAATTCTCGATGAGCAGGGAATTACTTAACAAAGAGTAGGGATTACTTTGCAATGATTATGGATTACTTTTCCATGAGCGGGGATTACTTTCCGATGAGCAGGGATTAGTCTCCCGCTGAATATTCTTCGGGTGAGCTGGTGGCACGTGACTCGCAGTAGCCACAGCCACAGCGAGAGAGAGGTCTCGTGGATGTGGTGGTCCGGGTGCGGGAATATTTCCCAGGTCGATGACCCAGAAGAGTGACATTTTAAACCCTGGCGATGAGAGAGGAGCGAGCGCTTGGAAGGGCGATCGAGTCTGACCTCGCCGGATGTTGAGAGCGAAGCAGATTCGAGCCTTGTTGGTACTTGTATTGGAGATTGCTAGCCACTTAATACTTGGGCTCTGGAGTGATCAGGAGATGACAGTAGAGAGCAATGGAACCTTGAATGTATCTATCTGTTAAACTAAAACTATGTTGATTTAACCAGCAAAGGTCCACTGAGCTATATCGCTCTTTGTCAGAAGTGACCTAGCCACAGACGATAGCTCAACAACAAGTGACTTATCACGTGGAACTTTACAGCGGCCAAAGACTCTAAACGCGTGATGTTGATTATAAATATGGAGAGAAAACCCAGAGGACCCGGATAAAAATCCACGCGACCACAAGGAAATCATGCAAACTCCAAATATACAGACTACCAGGGTCGGGATCGAACCCACGACCTCCTCCATACCAGGCCACCGCACGCATGCCCTTACATACGACGTGCGCTGCCCGTGGCGCGGTGCAGCGGTCGGCTCTGTGCCCGGGTCTCACTCACGTCGGCTCGCCGCGTCGCCTGCGACAGGAGGGGGTGGACGCGCACGCCGGGCCGATCCGCGGGGAGCTCCTCCCAGAGGGCACGCGCCTCGCCCCCGGAGAGCGCGCGCCACGAGTAGAAGCCGCTGCCGCCCTGCTCCTCCTGGTGGGGGTGGAGGTGGTGCCCGCGCACATGGCCCGGTTACAGAGACTCATCACGTGGGCACGCGGCCCGGTTACAGAGACTCATCACGTGGGCACGCGGCTCGGTTACAGAGACTCGTCACGTGGGCACGCGGCACGGTTACAGAGACTCATCCCGTGCGCACACGGCCCGGTTACAGAGACTCATCACGTGAGCACACAGCCCGGTTACAGAGACTCATCACGTGAGCACGCGGCCCGGTTACAGAGACTCATCCCGTGCCCACACGGCTCGGTTACAGAGACTCGTCACGTGGGCATACGGCCCGGTTACAGCGACTACTCAAGTGGGCACAATCCCCAGTCACAGTTTCTTATTTTTAAATGTTTATATATAATGGTTGCTGATAACAGGACTGAAACGTAAAAAAACACTAAGCGGACAGCAGCAAACAGCACCATTAAAGGTGTACGAAATAACAGCAAAGAGGATCATTTAACTGAACAAAGTTCTACCAACTTGGGGGGAGGGACCACGAGAAGTGATGCCACGTTGGAGCAGCAACGTATCGGTATAATTAGCAACATAGTGATTAAATAACACAATTATCCATTAAATCCGCGCTTTGCAATCGTTTTCCGATGTAACTGGCGGCGTTCCGACCCTATGAGACCACGATTTGCGACAGCACGTGCGGTAGAGGTTACCAGAGTAGCGAGGGCTAGAAGGCTCATCGAGTGTGAACTCGATTGTAGTTACATTACGCAACACAAACAAACCCAATACCGTCAAGATATAGGAAACACAATTACAGTACAAAGTTGCGCCAAACGGTTATCGCGATAATCGTCACTTGTTCGATTAATTGGGTTTAATTCTAATGGCCCCATGCCCAGAGATGCAGGGTCTCTGTAAACATGGAACGTTGGGTCAACGTTCAGCCAAAGCCGGACCAACAGTTCCAACCACGTGTCAGAGTTGGATCAAGGTTGGAAATTTTAATGGGACAATAGCACATGTCTGGTTCTGAGTGTCAGATGTCAGTGTCTGATTAAGCTGTGCGACTGGTAAAAACTAAAAAGGTAACTTTTTTTTACCAGGTAAGGCCCTACTGAGTTGCATAGCTTTTTTTTAGTAGCGACCTGGCGATCAAAATGATAGCTCAACACAGTGGCTTATCATCATCACGTGCAAATGCATAGCAGCCAAATACTCGAAACGCATGGTGAGAGTACGCAAACTCCAAATATACAGCAGGCGTCAGGGTCGGGATCGAACCTAAGACCTCCTGTATACCCGGCGAGGTAGCTAACATCTCGTATCCACCGTTGCGCGATTGTTTTGGTCGCCGCGGTGGTGTAGCAGCGGAGCACCACCCAGCAGCTGACGGGGATGATGGGTCCTCTGTGCACTATACCGGAGACTCGGCAATGGGGCGCCCTGCGTTTTGCTCTTGAGGTCCAAACGGAACAGATGGAGCTGTTGGGAAACAAGGGGGTGAGACGGTTGGTTAACACGGGGGGGGGGGGGGGGGTGAGACAGAGGGGGTGAGGAGGGTGGTTGAGAGGGGGGTGGGTGAGACAAAGGGGGTGAGACAGAGGGGTTGACGGGTGGGGGGCTGAAAGCGGCTTGCCCTCCCCCCTTCCCCGCACAATTACGTAACGGGCAGCCTTTCATCGTCGAGCGAGAGAGCGCAATGAACAACAGCCGCAAGAAGATCGCATCGCTTACTCATTCTGTTTAGCATTCAGCACCGATTTAAAGCGTGTTTAACATTGACTGTGTCGTGCCCCCGCTACCACCCGCCCCCCCCCCCCCCCTTTAAAGAAAGCTCACGCGATGGGGCTGACGTTGCAGGTTAGTGCACAACAGAGACTACCCCGGGTTCTATTCGGGACTCACGCGAGCTGCTGCTGCTGCTGCTGCTGCTGCGAGGCCAGAAGGTCGCGGGCCTCTTGGTGGGAGACGAGGCGACCGCGGTGGGGGTCCCGGTGGGGGACACCTGCAGGGACCCGGCGAGGCACAGAGCCAGACGCAGTGCGGGGGGCAGACTCCCTGCGCGGAGTCGCATGGTGCCCTGCCCGGCTTGGCTAAGCCTCAGCTACAGCTGAAGCTCCACGCATAAACGAGCTCAGCCCAGGTATTGCCTGGCTTAACGGAGATTTCTACCCCAGCGTGAGGTTAAATAAGCCTAGCTCAGCTCACCCCGGCTCTAGACAAGCTTGAAATAACTCAGGTCAGCCTCGCCCCCGACTCGAGCTTAGCTGAATAGGTCCTTGTAACCGCCGTTAAGCCCAGCTCGGACAAACCTGAGTTTATCCTGCAGTTTCTCAGCTCTTGATCGGTCCTAAACTCAAGTCTGTATCCCTGCTCAACTCTCCCTAGCTCAGCTTAACTCCGGTTTAACCGAATCCCGACCCCGGCTTAATCCGAGGCGACCTTATTTCGCCCGTATCCTAACCTTTGGCAAGCTCCGAATCAACGCGAGTTGGAGCTCTAGTTTGGCTGGCCCCACCACTGCGAACTTGAGTCTAGCTTATTCCAATCCTAAGCCTGGATCGTCCCCTGCTTATACCTCGAGTCTACGAACCAGTTCGGCACGGCTCGGCTCGGCTCTAGCCCCGTGTTTTTAGTTTCCCTTCTGAACGCCTGACCTGATTCTTACGTAAGCCATACAACCATGGCTTAGGTGAACCAAGGCTGACACGTTGCCAAGTCTCACGTGAGCACGTTAGCACGAGTGAGGCTCTCACTCAGAGTCAGCCTCTTGGTGAATTGAGCCTTTTCCTAGCGCGGCCCGACTCGCGTTGGGAGGTTCACGGCACCGGGTCGAGGCGTAAACTGTGCGAAAGTCAGGTCGTCGGCTCGAATGACAGTAAAAAGAAATAAAAATAATACAACACAATCTCTCGTCGTCACTTTCGCAACGTGGCCTAAGGCGTTTAACAATTTTAAAAAACATCACAGAAACTGTAAAAAAAAATGTTCCCACAAATTTTGCCTCTTTTAAAACTCCCATCAACCAGACATTCCATCCATCAACCAGACATCCCATCCATTAACCGACGATCCCGCATCGCTCGCAGTTAGTCCACTCATTAATCATCTCACCTATCAAACATACATCCCACACATAAAACATCCATGTCACACCTCCGATTAGTACGGTTAGCTACGTACTGTGCGAAAGAAGTTCACCATAAATACATACAATCAACCATGCCATCACTCTTCAACGATTCATCAAACCTACTAACCATCCATCCCACCCATCAACCATCCAACTTGACGCCCGTGGTCGCGTGGATTTTTCTCCGGATCCTCCGTTTTTCCCTCCTCCACATTTAGAAACACGCGTTTAGAGTATTTGCCTGCAATAATTGTCCACGTGCTAAGCCACTTCGTTGAGCTTTCATTCGTGGCCAGGTCTCTTCTGAAAAAGAGCTACATAACTCGG